ACGGCCGGCGCTAGGAGGCCAGGTAGCCCGCGTCCACCAGGAGGCTCGAGCCGCTGGTGGAGGCGCTGCAGTCGCTGAGCAGGAACAGGATGCTGTTGACCACGTCCCCCAGCTCTGCAGCGGGCAGGGGCGGCGGGCGGGTCAGCGCGGCTCTCCCGCCGCCCCGGCCGCGCCCGCCCATCCCGCTGCCCTGCAGACCTGCAAACCTCCGCAGCGGGTGACGCTCCTTCAGCTTTCGGACGACCTCGGGGTCCCTGAAGACTTCTTGGCTCATGGCCGTCGGCACCACCGTGGGGTTCACGGAGTTCACCCGGATCTGGGACCAAGGGGTCGGCCGGAGGCTGCGGCCTTAGCCTGAGGACTAGCCCCGTCCCCACAGCCCCCCACCCGGCTGACCCCACTGCCCAGAGCCTTGAGTGCTCCCCAGGCCTCTCTCACGCCCGCCCACCCCCCTTCTCATCTCCCAACCTTGCCCCTAGCGCCTACCTTGTGCCCCCACAGGCCCAGCCCGCACCCCCAGCACTCCCAGGCTCACCTTGTGTGGCCCCAGCTCCATGGCCATGGCTTTGGTCAGCATGGTCATTGCACCCTTGGTGGAGCCTGGGGGGGGGGGGGCCGCACTGGGGTCCCTTTAGGGATTCACCCTTCTTTTCAGGGAGGCCCAGCCCCAGAGCCCAGTGGGGGTGGGGATATGGGCTGGGTAGAGGGACTCACTGTAGACAGCTAGGTTGGGCAAGGTGGCATAGGCCAGTGCGCTGGAGACATTGACGATGGAGCCAGGTACTCCGCGGTCGATCATGCCTTGGGCCACCATCTAGAAGCCAAAAGAAGGGCCAGTTTGACCCCAACTCACCCTTACCTGGGCCTTGTCAGCTGTGGGGCCACGTCCCTCCACTGGCTCACCCGAGACACCTGGAACACAGAGCGCACGTTCACGCTGAAGGACCTGGGGGAGAGCAGACAGTCAGACGGACCCTGGCAGGTCTGCCCCACCTCTGCAGCAGCCCCTCCCCATTCCACCCGCTCTCCTGCGTCCCACCTGTTGAAGGTCTCCTTGGTGGTCTCCAGGAAGGGCTGCTGCAGCGCCACAGCAGCGTTGTTCACCAGCAGGTCCATGGGGCCCAGGCCGCTCAGGGCCCGCTCCGTGGCCTCCCAGTCACTCAGGTCCACGCACACGGGCTTTATCCCGGGGCACTGTGTGTACGGAAGGGGGGGCACAGTCATGGGGGGGCCAGGGGTCCCATAGGAGCCCCCTTCTTGGGGCTCAGAATCCCAGGCTGTGAGGCAGAGGGGAGGGGGGTGACGTGGCCTCTGGGCCACTGGGCAACTCAGAGCTTGGGGACCAGGAGCCTCCGGACCTTGCACTTCCTCCCCGCCTCCGCAAGGCAGCCATTTCTGCTTCCCGCCGTGCTGGGGGAGGGGAGGGGGGTCGCGGTTCTCTAGGCCACTCGGGAGCCCACGGAGTCCGCGCGCCCCGGGAGGGCTGCTGAGGGTCCTCGGTCAGCCCGGGCCC